ATGTTGATAATCGCCATTTTCCCACGTACTGACAATTTTAAGTCATGAGTCATGCATTTATTAGTTATAACCAATTAGATACTTGAACTCAGGATACTCGTGATAGCGGGTAATTTTATTATCGTTAAAAGTTGATCAGAACCTGTTAAGTTATAAGCCATACAATTTAGTTCTAACCAATTAAATACTTTGGTGCGGACAGGACAGCCGTAATTTTATTATATTTTGATTGATTGATTTTGAAACCACTAACGGACACTGCTTTAAATCCGGAGGTCGATTCATTACTTGATTGATTTTGAAACCACTAACGGACACTGCTTTAAATCCGGAGGTCGATTCATTACTAGACCCTTGGACCATCTGTAAAATCGCACCTAATATCGATATCGCCACCAAAATCTGTTACATGAAACTAGCATAATCTAATATGACGAATACTTGTATTACAGTAATAATTATGAAAACAAAGAAACCTACCATTTTTAAACACTAAAATGCTATTTTTCTGTTGTATATCAAACCAATTTATTTGAAGCTAATAGAAAAGCCTGGATTAAATCCTTAAAGAAGACATAGTGGTAATTTTAAAAAAGAATGAAAAGTCTTGCCACACGAACTATCAAAAACACAGAAAAATATTCGATATAAGTAGTGCATATTCTTTGCATTTGTCTTTATTTTCAATGAACGCAAAAGTTTGAACGTGTTACATAGGGGCTTTTTTTTTTTATCTTTAGATGGACGTGATTAAATTTTTTTACCGGTATTTTTAACAAGTCGATTTTATTTTATTAATTTTGCTTGGAAAATGGAAATTTTTTATTTTTTCGAAAGGTTTATTTATTTATTTATTACAATCTACTTTTCTATAGCGAATTGAAGATTCTGGAAAGACATTACAGAAAATTAGTGTTTTCTTAAGAATACATGGCACATTTTATATCGAACTATTATGAAGTTTCAAATTTTGAGTTTGTTATATCCAGAGTCTACTGTATAAGATTTTTATTCATTAATTTACTAATATTAAAATTCTAATAGTTTAGATTCAAAGAAATTCGAATCGTTTCTTTTTAACACCAATTGATTAATTCTATATGTATGAATTCAATTATTTTTGAATATAGTAATGTAGCTGAAGTGGATGAGGCAGATACCAAAAAAAATCCGAACCTGAATTATAAATTGTAGAAAATCCTTCACAGGATATATTATAATTATAAATTATTGTCGTGGCTGATACTGAAAATTGGGTCTCGATTTTAAAATATAAGCTTTTTAAATTTTAATATCAAAATAGGTCCAATTTTCAGCATTAACCGTAACAAAAATTTTATCATAAATTAAGGCAGAATTGGTGTCTGCCGCAGCAAAATTAGGATCCCTATTGGTCAGGGGAGACCGTCACAAATATTGGGGTCGTCTAAAGCGGAACTACCAAATCATGTTCTTGCAGAAAGGAATTCATTATGCTCAAGAAATTGCGAATATGTTCTACGCAGGAATGCAAAAGCTTTTAATTACATGGAAATGAATATTTGAACGTATCTGTTTTAATGTATGAAAATTTAGCTAGCAATTAACGTTAGGCGAGCATCATTTTTATTCGTTTTTTATGAATTTTTCGTTTAATGTATGAAAATTTAGCAAGCAATTAACGTTAAGAGAGCATATAATAATTTATTTTTATTCGTTTGTATTTCTTAAATTTATTTTATTTTAATTAATTTTTATTTTTTTCAATCTTTTTTTCGCTTTTTTTTTAATCGCTAAATGGATACCGATTTTAAAACGACCTTCATTTCACGATTCACAAATGACACGTGCCAATTCAGGGTCGACCTAAATTCCGTAACGATATATATATTTATTTAATATCTGTATGCTTTGTCTAACTTTGGTAATTGGGTCGGATAGATTAATATCGCTATATATCAATTAGTCTCATGCCTTTAACACAATGTGACGGTCAGTTTCGGATCACCACAGCTCTATAACCAAAACACAACAAAAACATAAAACGCAGTGAAGCCTACTCGAAAAAGCAAGGAAGATTGGTTTGAGAACCAGGACCCTATTGCTGAAATCTATAGCTAACAATACTTGTTTACATGACTATGAATTTCATTTGTATTATTCAATATCTAAGCCAAACCCGAAATAGCATTTGTTAAATGCTTCTCACATGTAGACCATTGAATATTAAAGGTTCTAGGTCTGTGGTTCAAGTCACATATGTTCTTAATCACGATCTTGGTCATATACTTGAGGTCAGTTCATATTCCCCGTTACAATGGGTTACAACGCGTTGTGCTAGTATATTACTATTACCAATTTTTTTTTAACATAAATAAAAAGTATTGCTTTTAGCCATGTTCTTTCCCGAATGTCATGTTCTGTATTTTAATGAGCTTGACGAATTACACCATAAAAATCCTCAATAAGACAAACTTGTGTACTACGATTATGATTTTCAGTTTTCAACTTTATTGATCGTAAACGTATAAAGAATTCAATATTTGAGCTTTGAGTTTTCATGTTTACTTGTTGGGTTTCGGAAAGTATAAAGCAACAATTACAGTATATTTTGAACAATTCATAATATGTTTGTCATTTGATTACTCATAAAATCATTGACTACTATAATATATCAAAGACTTGAGGTAAAAGAAAGAAAAAACTAGCGAATTCTTTGAATTATATTGAACGAAAGAAATTAAAGCAAAAATTTTATTTTATCTATATATTTTTTCTACAAAGCAAAAAATTACCTTTGTGTGGCCTATCCATATCTAATTATGAAATAATACAGTATTCGTTGATCTGATCTGTTTTTTTTTTTTTTAGATTCAAACTTAATGTCGGCAGCAAAAATAGTTACACTTAATTATGGGCTAGAACAATATTATGAGAATTCGGGTATATATTATTCTAATTACTGATTTATTACTCGTAATATATTTTTAATTACACTATTATTCGTAGATTCGAGTAATTCAAC